TGCATTTAATTAGTTGCGCGCACTATATTGTCTGTCTCTTGTGACTAATGTATTTTTATCGTATTAGTTTCATAATCGAAACTATTCATTTTAAAAATCAACTTTTAAAGATTTTTTCTATAATATACCAATCAAACTGAAAATCATTTATGCATCTATATATATATATATATATTAAACAAGTCAATAATGTTGATGTTGGTATCAACTAACATATTTATGATGAACTGTCTATTTATTTTATACATATAGATGATTAAATAATCTTTGATTCATTATAAAAATGATCTCTAAAATGGTTAAAAAATCAACGGTTACATTTTTACAAAATTTATAGTGAGAATAAGTTAGTCATAGGGGTGAATAAGGTGGTACACCCATGAATACATTCTTTATTTTCATGTTAATTACTTTTTAGTTTTGTGGACGATTTGTCTTTTGCTCTCTCTCTTGGACTTCTACCTGTTTGAAATTCAAAAAAAGTCTTGGTGGTTAGTAGAACTCTACTAACCAAACAGAAAAGATGTCAATATTAGGTGCCAGCTGATGGTCGTAAAAGCCTTATAATGTTAGTTTCCCTAACAAGAGACTTAAAGAGTTAATAATAAATACTAATTTATTGGATCGTTCTCAAATGGTTAGACTTTGCTAGACTACTCTCACTCAATGTTAGATTGCATGGGGCAGGGTTTTGGCACAAAAAAATATTTAATTATCAAATGTCAATTTTATATATATCTGTATACTACTATACTATATTCAGATGCACTAACTAGGGCGGGTGACCTAATCATAAATATACGACAACATTTTGTCACCATGGCGTTTATAGTTGTCATATCCACACAGAACACTTGCTCCACTTGCTATTTTGTGTGATAAAACTCGAAAAGATTAACAAATGGGAACACGCCATTTGATCGACAGGAGGCAATTACACAATTGTATGCCTTGATGGGAGAGATTTCAATGCTCGTAACACAGACATATACATCATCTATCATTATACAAGTAGATAAACACTTGAAAAAATATGTACCACATATCTTATTTTACATAATATTTTTAGTACTCAATCTCTTATTCACATTCATATATATAAACTAATAACATTGCTCAAGATTCCTGTGGAGCACAACCTACATTTTATATATATTCTTCAACTGCTTTTGACAAAACCTTTTTGATTTCTAGCACCAATGTGCTTTTTAGAAGCTTAAACCCCTCTAGATGTTACGAGATAACGTAATTAAGTACTCTTTTATAAATTGATTAAATGATGGTGGATGACTTTATATATATTTTTCAAGTTACGGGTAAAATTTGGTGAGTTACAATATAATTAAAGTTGTAGACTTTCATGCATGAGTTCTTTGCTTAATATATATATACACACTACATTTGAAAAAAGCACGAAAAGAAAAGGATGGTATATATACAGAACGAACAAGTCAAACACAAGTGCAAAGTGGGCAAGTCTTATACCTACACTTGAAGTTGAATATCCAATCATGCCGCATGGAACGATCATATATATATCTTGTATTCTTAGAGCATCCTAGCAAGGGGCTCCATATGGGGCTAGAAAAATGATGGATATAGTTCAATTTAGAGCTCTGAGGAATCTTTGAGGTTTTATAAAAGAATATCTCTCAATGAGGGACTATATCTTTCGGGCTCTATATGTGGTTATATATATTTATTTATGTAGTAATTTGATTAAGTGATGATTTTTTTTTTTTTTTTTGTGTTAGCTTTTCTTAAGTTGATTTTTGAACGTGCTATCTTTAATTTTTTTTTTTTTAATGAACCCTTCAACCTAAAAAGTTCAAATTGTGACAAAGTTAAATTTCACCACTTATGAATCATTCATTGGACTAGATTTTCTTATCTCAATCTCATCCGTTAAAAGAAACAAATCCTCACTTTCCCCTTTGAAATAATTTGATTTTTACGTATAACACAACAATTTAATTACCTAGCACCAATTGGTAAATTAGTATCATACAATTTTGAAAAAAAATTAATTCAAAATTTCACCCATCAATGTCCATGAACGTTAAATCAATTTGAAATTTCAATTCTTATGGAATTTAAAACAATCATTAATTAGCCAAATTGCAAGAAAAATAAGTAAGAAAAAAGAATTTAAAATAATAATAAAAGGAGAGTATAAGTGTATTTGCAAGTGGAAGGAGAGTGATAGAATTTTGCTCACATGGGTTGTTACTTTTTTGTGGGACCCACTGTTTTTTTGGGCTAGATGTAGCCCAATTTTACACTATCCAAGAAAGAAAATTGTTAGTCCAAGTGGTGGATCTAGCCTTATTTTCCGGCACATTGGGGATGAAATTTCTCGCTATGGTTGAAAATGTGGTAGCCTCATGGAGGATAAAGTCCCCATTGGGGACGCTCTTAATTAACTATTTTGAACAATTAGTTGTGGGAAACGAGCAAATAATAACACGAAAGGGACCAATTCACAATGCATGCTAAAATTGATTTATGCTGGATTCCAAATGTCCAACCCCTGCGCTACATCCTGCCTTCCGTATCCGGGATTTTATATTGAAAGATGATAGTAACCTTCGTATTGTTGAGTAGTGTAAAACTATATGTAGTTAATATCTTGCTTTTACTTGGCCGTATATTTCTTTTTCTGTAACCAAGTGTTTCAGTTCATGGAAATGCCGACAAAATCACATTTCATTGCAGTCAAGATAATCTTATATAAATTGAGGGGCTGCTACGATACATGTGAAGAAAAAAATTGTGAAACTTGTCACCATGTAAGCTTGTGCGATTACTTAAACTGTTAGAGAAACTGTTGGGCTGTTAGCGTTGTTACAGTAGAGCTGTGATGCACCTGATGTAATAGATATAAGGAAGCTTTAGCATAGAATGAAAGCACTGAGGTGATCTCAAATTCTCAATACAAGAAGTCTTTTATACTTGTTTCTCTAATTTATCTGATATGTTATCAAATGGTATTACCACTCATGTTATAAGATATGTATCCAATTATTAATAATATACATAAGTTAATGAAATATGTCATTCACCTCCAACATAACACATAAATTAATCACATGACAGCCCAAAAATCCTTCCTATATTCATCCGACCACTCTAGCTCCAACATCATTTCGCACTTGCAGCCGTTATGCGCATATATTTAATATCCCAACAATTTATGACATTTATAATATCTTGATATTCCTCTAGATATCTTTGTTTAGATTAATCAATACATCATTAGTCGCTTATTGATTTAATCGAAATTTCTAGTTCTACTTTGTAATTAAAGGTAAAAAAGGAATAACAAACCAAAACTTTAAAACCCTAGCCGCATAGCAAGAGGAAAAACCAAAGAGAGCCGTGAGGAACTAAAGATCCCCTAAGCTACTCTACAAATAATCTTATTCTAGTCATTCCTATGTTAGATTTGTGTTTCCCTGCCATTTTGCAAGGCTTCTTTGATTGTTTTTGCTAGATATAGCTGATATGGTTTGACTCTCAATGATAGATGTTGTTTTTGGCGGGATTAGCGAGTCAAACCATATGAGGTAGATCTAGCTTTGTCAGATATATGGTAGGTTCGTCCTGATTAGCGTGAGTTGTTCTGAATCTCTTTAGAATGGTCGATGGTGTTGGCCAATTTTACACTGTGAAGGTGGAGAAGACTGATGATCTTGTCGGCTTTAGTGTACGTTTGTAATAATTATAGAAACTCAAAATAAGAGTGGTTTAAGTTTTGCAATCTTCTTTTTGGCAAATTTTTGTAGTCTCGCTATATGGTATATGTGAGTATGGTGACTCATTATTATGGGTTTGTTCGTTGTGAGGTCAATCTCGTAGTTTACTCACCAAAGTACCACAGCTACGCTGTTGAGTTTGCTAAATCTACTATTAAATGGTGCTTTGAGATTATTAGGTGATTTGGAGCCGCAATATCCTTCTATCCAGTGTTCAGATAACTATAGTTTTTTTTTTTTTTAATATATCACTATAATTTTTTTAGAGTACCTATCTTTCATGCATTAGTTTCTATAAATCTTCTTTCTTTTTTAAATTCTTGCAACCTTATGATTACTGTTTTGTATTCTCAGATTTTTACTTGCAACATTACGTGATTATTTGTCAAGGAGGGTACAATACTCAAGAGGAACATCCTTCCATATTGGGTGCAGGTCTCAGATCATTTCTGTAATTAATTCAACACTTGCTCTAATATTTTAGTTGAATTTATCCAAAAGAAATAGAAATACAACTTGGGGATAAGGTTTTGGAAATATTAGGTTATTTACCGCTTAAGTTGCAACGTTGCGACCACCAGATATGCTATATATTTAATCGTAATAACTGGAAATGGAAAGATACCCAACACTCGGAAAATACACAAAATAAAAAAACCGCACAAGTCTTATTGGTCAAATAAGATAATAATTTGTTCTACCTCAACTGATCATATTATTTGCCTTGTACAGAGGCAAGAACACCCGCACACAAGTAGATACCTAGCCTCTGTAGGTCCTATACAAAGAATGATATGTATTTTTTTTAGCATTTAACATGGTATATACAACAGCATGAACAAATAAAAGGTTGAAATAACCAAATACGAAGAACCCAAAAGTCCTGGACATTTGATAATACTCGTGGAAAATGATGTCACTCTTCTAGTTGAAGTGGATTGGTTTGATTAATTGGAGTAAATTAATATTTAACATTTATATTATCATTGTTTGAGATAACATTCTCATGAGTGAGATACTGTCGCAACTTCAGGCTCAAGCATACCAAAACAGGAGCAGTATGACGAGAAATAAGCAATAAATAAATTAGCAAAGATTGTAGATATTTAGTAATCGTCCTGGATTACATCGACTGGCCCCACCTTGAGGCATGAACCTTGAGGGCCTTTGCTTTGTAGACATTCCTGCATCTCCGTCACTATCTCTTCCCTATATATATAAAGAGGGTGCTGCATAAATGAATTTCTTATATATACAAGAAAGAAGAACATCATAAGAGTGAGGTGATTCTGGTGCCGTGTGTGTAGGAAAAACGCAGGATCAATCTCCATTGCCGTTAGACTGTTGATTGGATCGACTAGGAGAGACGAAAGATGGGGGGAAAGGGAAGATCACCATGTTGTGATAAGGAGAAAGTGAAGAGGGGTCCTTGGAGCCCTGCTGAAGACTTGAGGCTCATTACTTTCATTCAGAAAAATGGCCATGATAACTGGAGGGCTCTCCCTAAGCGAGCAGGTAATAATCTCTCTCTCTCTCTCTCTCTCTCCCTCTCTCTCTCTCTCCCCCCACCCCACCCCAAATGATTGGTGACATGGTGATTTTCATATATTTGGCATGCATGAGAAACTCAAATTGTGTTCAAGGACATAAGTTTACAAATTCTTCGTCAAATTTCCCAAAAAAAGGGGACATCTATCGTTTAATTAGACGAAGTTTTGTTTTGTTTTTTTGTTTTTTCCTCTCTCGGCAACAATATTTTGGATCAATCATGGAACATCCCTTTTAGAAGAATGATCCTTCAAACTTTATTATGTTTTTGGTTACAACTTAAGATGTCATTGCCTTCAATTTCCTCTTTTTGGTAAATACCTTCAACTTTCTTTCAATGCATTGCATTCTTGATTCTTGCTTTCTTTTTGGAGGGGTTTTTACATTGAAGAAGGCCGTTACAAGTTTTAATGATAGAGTACTTTACGCACGAAAGTGTAAATTGGTACTCTCCTTCTCAAGTCTTTCTAAATATTGTTGGAATTTTTTTACTGCGGGGTTATATGTGAAATAAAGCCAATTACAAGTTTTAATGATAGATTACTATTTTACACGCAAAAGTTAAAGTCCTCCCAAATGTTGATTTTTTTTATTAAAAATAATTTTAGAGTAATGTCAAGTAGATCAAATTTGCAAACCAGCTAATGTGTCACCAATAAGAAATAAGTATGTTAATCAATAATTAAGTAATAATCCAATCATCAACAAACATGTCATATAACTTACAAAATTTGATCTCCCTATCATTACTTTTTTTTTTTTAATGAATTCAAATGTTGAATTAAAAAAAAAATATATATATATAGTTTCCTTTACTGCAATTGGAATCTGTTTAATATTCGTGTATTGGCATGAAATTTGGCTTCCATAGCTTTAGACAGTGTGTTGACAAGAATTTTGTCAACTAGCTACCATAAACAATAAAAAGCAAAGCAAGTTTGAAACGGTTTTTATTTGTTTTAAATTTTATTCAACCCCTTAAAATTACTTTTTGGAAGGCTTAACACTAATGATTACTACCATTTTAATACCTAATCCTTGTTATTGCTTATCTGCCTAACTAACTGTGATTATCATGGTGTGCATCCTTGTATGAAACTATCACAAGCATTGCAAACCAATGCTTGCTTTCTGAAACATGCAAATCCTGTTAGAATGTGTCGAATTTTCATGAACTTCATATCCCTAACCTTATATACTTATGAACATATTATGAAAATCCGCTCTCTATAAATGAGCAAAATGTTATTGACTTAGTTTTATAATTCAATGCTGATTTTTATCAATAAGACATCATGTTTATGTTACAGTTACAAACAAAATTTTCTCGTATTTTTGTAGTATGAACACACGAGAACCTTGATTTTGTCTATCTTTGCCTTCATCATATTTTGCTAGACTAGAGTGTGGAATGTTGGTCCAAGTTTGAAGAGTGCATGACAGGGAGAGGTTTCCTAACTTTTTATAATTTTATGTGACTATATATATATGGTTGGAAATCTTACCAAATTACCTCTAGAAAGACCAAGTTTTAATTTTTATTTTTTTGTGTCTACATAGTTAGGCATTGAGAACAAGTATGTGACCGTATCAGTCACATCAAATTTCCTTTAAGTCTTTGCATGGCTACCAGATGAAATGTCCCTTTCTCCTCTTTTTATTTCCTACCAACATTTTGTTTGAATAAATTAACACGAACATTGTTTCAGAATATATGCCAATAATATTATTATTAATGTGTTTTGAAGGTTTGCTGAGATGTGGTAAAAGTTGCCGTTTGAGATGGATTAATTACCTTAGGCCTGATGTGAAGCGAGGGAACTTCACTATTGAGGAAGAGGAGTCCATAATCAGGCTACATGAAGCCTTGGGAAACAAGTAATTTCAACATAAATCTCAACTAATATAATTAGTGAATTATTAAGCTATATTTTATTACTAACGTATTCTTGCATGGTGGTGTATATTTCTCTTTTTGATGTTGAAGATGCCTTAGGTTCGAAGCCACTCATTACTGATACAATACTTATTCTCGATTTAGTAGTATATATTTCTTTTCTTAATATTGAAGATGTCTCAAGTTCGAATCCCCTAATTACCAAAATCTTGTGCAGGTGGTCAAAAATTGCAGCACATTTTCCTGGAAGAACGGACAATGAGATTAAGAATGTGTGGAACACTCATCTAAAGAAAAGATTGGGTTGCCAAAATTTACCATCCTCTTCCTCGTCATCTTCTTCTACTACTAGTACTACATTATTGTCTGGTGGAAAACCAAGTGTAGGAGGAGGGGAAGAACTAATTGAGCATCAATCTGCTGAAGAAACTAGCATGGCCACCAACAACAAACCTCATGAACGATGCAGTTTGACAATTCAAGAAAACCCTAATCATCATGATTCTCCAATGGAATTAACAAATGATCCCAAGGAGTTAACAGGGTTGACCACTTCTTCTAATGTTTCTTCTAATGAATCCAATGGCTCAAGTAGTTCCAGCCAAGTTGCTGGTATGTCAAGGCCAGGTGCAGAAGAGCAGCAAATGGATGATTCAAACGACTTTTCAGGAATTTTTGATTTTCCATTTGAGTCTGACTCTGATTTTTGGGACATGTTCAATGACTTTGAGCCACTCCAGTCAAATTTAGTCCAAGTACTTCATGAGGCTGATGAGGCTAATTGCCAGAGATCGGGCTTGGGACAAGTGGAAAATGGGAAGTGGCTTAGTTACTTGGAAAGTGAACTTGGACTTGAAGTAACACCAACGGAGAGTGAGAAAAATAACCAGGAGATTTTACCGAAGTATGCAAGTGAACAACAAGTCTTCCCAGAGGCTTTTGACAAAATGCCAAATCCTACAGAAGCTGACGAGAGCATGGATTACTTTAATTCAAACGTGGCCTTCGCCACACAACAATTCCTCCATTCAAATTAGTGAGATTAATATCGATGTCATCCTAACTGCAGTTTTAAATTTACAAATAGGGTCTTGCTTATGTTATGATGGAATCTTTGATGTAATTTTTCAGAGTTTATGTCAAAACACAGTGTAGGTTGAACAATTAAACATCATCAATATAGTCCTTTATGAAAAAAGTGTTCGCCTAATTATTATAATCTTTTTCAATAATATGTACGTGAATGTTATTTTTATTTGTCACGTGCACATGATCTAAGAAGAAAATTATATATATATATATATATATATATATATATATATATATATATATAGTGCAAACAAAAATTCTTTCTCCTTTCATGTGATGTGGTCAAATATGTTTAAGTGGTTGGGTGAGATAGCCCCCACTTAGAGAAATTATATAGAACATATGGTAATCCCAAAGTGAAATCTACGTTTGACAATTGAAGTAGCAATTCACACGTCCTGGTATATCAAGGCAATTCGACCACTTTGGTTTTGAGTAAAAAAGCACCACCTAATATGGGTAGGTAGCAAGTAATATTAGATATATTGAAGAAAAATAAATATGGAGTGAAAGGTATATGGTAAAGACATGCAACCAATCATCCGAATTGAGTCTATAAGATATAGAAGAGAATATGAATTAAGAAACTTCAACCTTAATCAAGTTGGATAGAATGTGCGGTCTCTTTTTACATCGAAGTTCAAATTTTTCTCTCTATAATTTAAATAAATTCAGCACAAATTATCTTATTAATTAAGAAACTTACTTTAGAGTGCAATTATGTTTGGTTTTCCGTTTTATTGGACAGCCAAGTATCACACACATGCATAATAAATAGATGTTGCATTTTACCTCACTTTACATTGAAAGCTACTTTGGATCAATGAACAAGTACATTCTTATACAATAATGCTTTGAGAAAATAATTTTGAGCACTTTCTTGTTACATAACAATGTTGAGTATGAAAGTACAATATTATTAGAATTTGGTATGTGTTTAAAACGTGAAAAGAATATATATTATCATTAACTAGCAATCATGCTTATGGACTATGGTGAGAGTTCGACCCCATCGATTCCCCTCCTCTCAAATAATTAACAATTTAAACCATTAACACTATTGTTTGTCCAATAAAAAAAAAAACGTAACTAGCACAATTAACATTTAACCATTTTGCCAATCAACATTATCACATGACATGTACAGTCTCGTACAAAGTTTTTTCTCAACATTCCAGCAGTCCTTTTATATTTCTTCTTGGTATTTCAGCCACGCTGGGAGCCAAATTACATGTGATCACTTAACCTAAAATTGACCCAGAAATCAACTTTGACGGCACCAAGCGTTGAGTATAGAGATAAATTTTCGTAATTTTAATAATTAGCAGCTGTTATAATTATTATATATATTGTCTTTTTTGGTCAATTCATGTATATTGTCAAGCAAATAAAGTCCTCGAGGATTTGGTAAGCTTGAGAACACACTTGTAGATATTTAAGTAATCACACTTTAATCAACCAGTATTTTTCTAACTCATGATTAATTTATCTTAGTGGGTAGGTGATAATTTCACTTACTCTCCCATTAGCTCGACAATGTTTCTTCATTTCCCCAACTCCTCGATGGAATTTAGGGCAAATACAAGTAGGAAATATAGTCAAAGTCGATGATTCAATTGGTCGCTACTGACTCAATAAACGAAAAAAGAAAGTAAAATATGATAGAAAAACCACACTAAAATCTGTTCACATACAAATTAACTCGATAAATTCGTTCTGATTTTCTATGTAATTATATTTTCACAATATTGTAGTTGGCGAAGATTTGTTTTTTCTGAGCTTATAGTTGAGCAGATCGTCGCCTTTTAGAGAAATTTTTAGTTGTAACGGAAATACAAATGGTACATAACGCGTTTTAATAGGAATGATAGAAAATTTTATTTTTTAAGTTATTAACTTTTTAGCACACATATTTCACCATTTATTTAGTGAAACGTAGTATATTATCCCGTGTACCGATCACACTGAAAAATCTCTATACCTTTTGCTGCATGTCATCTTTTGAAAATTCATGCACATTTGTCCAGGAAATTAAAGAGTGATATAAAATTAAGAAGTGAAAGGTGTCATCATTAGAAAGGCACACTTCATTGATTTGAGCAATATATATAATCTTCAACGCATCGGCCTTAAAAGGGAAAAGAAAAGGGAATTGAATTCACAAAAAGCTAGGAATCTGACTGGGTGATACAACTGTTCGAGGAAAACCACTTTTTTTTTTTTTTGACAAGCAATGATATATTAGTATTTTATTAATCATCTCAAAACAATACATAGATGTCAATTGGGTACAATACTCTAATGATCAAGATAATAATCTAAAGATAAATTTGCTCAAGCAAAACAACAATAGTAAACCCCTAGATGGCTACCACATGTATTAGACTTCACACACCATCACCATACAAAGCTGTCACATAACGATAGACATAACATGTTGTATCAACAATTTCAAAGGGTTACCGCCGTATAGCGAGACCACGTAAAGTCATCCCGGAAGCGAACCACATAAAGTCATAGTTGGTAAATGAGACCACGTAACACATGGCTTGAAAAACATATCCAACCAAAGTTGCAGTGTGGCCACAACACTCACTGAGCGAGAACAACAAGACTAAACTAAACTAAACTAACTTAAAAAAAAGCTAAACCAAATTAAACAAAACTACTCCGAGAAAGAAACCACAAGTCAGCACATTCCGATGGAAGGTTAGACAATTCAGAGAAAGGCCAATACACAGAATTGGACAATCCCATCAACAAGTCAAAAAGAAGGCAACGAAGCTGCACGATGAGACACTAGTGACGTCCATTCCGGATCTGGAAAACCGAAAGCGGCAAGACCGCTAAAACAAGCGGCCCATAAGGTGCAACGCTAGATAAGCCGCCTAAGGTTGTGCACCCTAACAATAGCACGACCCAGGTGGCGCAACAACAGATGGGTGCAGAAGGCGGTGCATCCACAGAACTAGACGATGAGAGTTTCACATCACCGGAAAAGTATGATGGAAGTGGCTCCAATCCAAACCCATAACCCAAATTGAACCCAAATAGAAAAGAAGCCCTTGAAAATGGCATAACCCGGATCTGGGAAGGAGACTGGAAGTCATGGGACAATCATGCACAAAAAGGTGGGGGAGAAGAAAACAGGGATGGAGGAAGCTAATAGAGGGTAGAGGGAGGCACGAGAAAAGGGGGCAACACAAGGATAAGGGAGAGAGTGAAACGGGAAAAAATAGAGGTGGAGAGGTTGGCAGAGGCTAAGGAGGGGAGGGAGAGACAGAGAGACTGGGAGGAGGGTGAGGAGTGGCTGCCGCCGACCCTAAGACGGAGCAAGAAGCCGGTGGATGAGATTGCAGAACTAATGTTTGATTTTGGGATGGAGAGTCGTGTATAGAGAGAAAAATACACACAGGATTGTCAATCCATTAGTGCAGGATTGTAAACAATTTGTAAGAATTTTGGGATATAGCTATAAATCTCAAATTATGGCAAATTGAATATGAAACAAAAAGCATGCAATAATCAAGTTTATTTTTATTTTGAAAAAAGTGAAAGAATGTTTTATTACCAAAAATAAAAAGTAACAGGTGCCTCCACTGATCAATTTCTTGACGTACAAACCACAAATAAATTTAAACCCCTACATGACACCACAAAAAACCACTAGAATCAAGAGTGTTCCTGTTGACTCTAAAAATTACAAAACCTACGTGACGCGCATGCCGAGTAACTAATAAGCTAACTACGTCATTCGGTTGAATGCGGGGCGTGCCAACTCGTCGGCCAAGCTCGGCCGAGGAGTAAAATTCGTTGATGTCGCGTTGAGCGCGTTGTTGACTTCTTTATCTTGCGACTACGACCGAGGAAGGAACACTCTCGGTCTTTGGGTTCTAGAGCCTGAAGACAAGGCTACTAATTCTGCGAAGTTCACAAATTGTCGGCGCCCGATTCGGTCACTGTGATTATATTCGTAAGAGTATAGGCACGTCGAATCGAGACCAAACTATATAGACACAGGTACTCAAATGTGATGTATGTCTTGATGGTGAATGTAGTTCGGCCGTCGGAATGCCGAACTCTGAAACTCACTTGTTAGTATCCAATCATAAAATCACTCGGCGTCCAGTACGCCGAGTAACGCAATTCGTAACACCTTACTACGCCGAGAGGGCTAGCAAGGTGACTTCTACCAACAAGGGTTCGAAAACCCTTCTCGGTCGAGACTTAGATAGGTAACCAGTCAGCCTCGACGCAGTGCTGTTTATCCAAACTGAAGGAGTTTATCGGTCGGCTGATTCTGCACCAACGGTGCTGTTTATCCAAACTGAAGGTGTTTGCCGGGTGCCTCCACAGTGCTATTTATCCAAACTGAAGGTGTGTCGGCAGAAAAAAGAAAAGGAAAAAATCTCAAGGTATTTGAGAGGCTTTGCGTAGGGCAATTGTATGTTGAATTGAAAGTCCCTTGAATGATGCACGTTGCCTTTTATTTATGGTACTGCTATACTGGCTTTGGCGGCTGACACTTGTTGGATACCTGTTACTGAATCCAATCGTTTTCAAACTCATAAAGCAATTTACGTTACGTAGGCCAAAGCCCATGCTTTAGTCATACCATCTCACGCAAACTGAAGCCACGTGTTCATTTGCAGCAACTTGATATACTGTGATTTTATCTCCAAGTCTTGCAAGTGTTGTCATCTGACTAAAACTCTTAGCATCCTGCCAAGGATATTCGGTCCCACCATCATAATCTTTTATCTCTTCATGCATGGTAAACCTCCTGCTGCATCACGTCACTATTTCTATGTTCCTCTAAAGTCTGAAACCTTTCATCCAAATGGTTGGCTTTCCAAACAAGATAAAGGCCCATCTTAACTTATCCCATCGTAATTAAAAACCTAACCTAGCTAGGCTTTCTTTTCTTGTCATAATTCTATCACTCATCCATACATCCTGATCCCATTTAATGAATTTCAAACCATTTAAAATTCATTTCTGACTACTTGTCAATCAACCTAACCTACTTAGGCTTTCTATTCACCATTATCCAAAATTTGTAGATCCATGCTATGCCATGTGATAAGATCC